CCGCGGCCCGTCCCCGCCTCAGTACCGGGCACGGCTCTACGGCTGCGCGAAGTCGCGGTAAGCCGCCCTCCCTCCCTGAACCTGCAGCACGGCCGACTCGGGTTGTTAGGTCAGCCCCCTCCCCTCAGTCGGTACCCCCACGGCCTCTCAGCGTGGAGCTCCGAAGGGCGGAGGGGCAGGGAGACAGCCTCCGTGTGCGGCGGAACGATGGCCGCGTTTTCCCGCAGAACCCGGAAGTGCCTTGGGACTGGGCTGGCGTGAACTACAATTCCCAGAAGGCTCCGGGCGTGAACGACAATCCCCAGAAGGCTTCGCGGCGGCGGCGCCCTCGGAGGGGTTTCCAGGAGAGGGGCCTTGGCACCAACCCACATGCAGTGCCCTAGCGGTGACTCCTAGTGACCCCATAGGACACTCGTGGGTTTCCGAGGCTGTAACTCTCTGCGGGAGTAGCAAGTCTCATCTTTTCCCTGCGAAGAGGCCGGTGGTTTCAAACCGCTGACCTTGCTTAGCCGCCTAGTGTAACCCACCACAAAGGTTCCCCTGTTAAATACTTAAACGTCTAACACGTCGTTAACCAGCCCAACTTCCCAGGGTGGCTTGGGAGGAAATTGTGTTATTTCTACCCACTTGGGAGCCCTGGTGGCAAGTGGTCACGCGCTGGGCCGCAATCCGAGCCATCAACTGCCCCATGAGGGCAAGACTACTTATTACTACTGGGAAGTGGTACAATGTTGGGTCACCGAGTCGGCATTGACTCAATGGCAGTGAGTGTTTTAGATTTTTTTTAAATTCTTGCCCACCTGAAATAAACTGAAAGAGCCCTGTTACATGGAAACATTTTTTGTTTGCTTGTGTGTGTGTTTTAAAGCAAGGCTTTTGTTTCTTTCGCTGTATACTTGTCAAAGTAATCCTGTAGTTTCCTCTTACAGTCTTAAAAAAAAAATCATTTTATTGGGGGCTCATACAACTCTTTATCACAGTCCATACATACATCAATTGTGTCCAGCACATTTGTACATTCATTGCCCTCATCATTCTCAAAACATTTGCTCTCCACTAAGCCCCTGGCATCTGCTCATCATTTTTCCTCTCCCTACCCACTCCCCTCCCTCATGAACCCTTGATAATTTCTAAGTTATTATTTTGTCATGTCTTACACTGTCTGATGTCTCTTATATTCTTGACTATAAATAGCAACCAAAAGTTGCGACTATTTTAGCAGACTATCGCTGGTGAAATGGTTAAGAGTTGGACTGTCACTGAAGTCAGTGGTTCAAACCCACCCAACGTTCCACAGAAGAAAGACCTGGCTCTCTGTCGGGATGTCAGCCTGGGCAAGCCTATGGGGCAGTTCTACTCTTGTCACCTGGAGTCGCTGAGTTGCAAATGGATTTCCTTCAGTGTGATTCACCCACTTAAGTGTTCCTGATTCCTGAAGAATCCCAGTTGATTCTCTTGGCTTTTCCAGTGAAATTTATTTTCTCTGTATTGGAGGCTACGATTCCAAACCAGAGACTCAGCGGTGTCAATTCCTGGTAGCCCCCGGCATTCCTTTGCTCCTTGTTGGTCCTCACAAAGCATCTGTCTACGTGTGTATAATCTGTTCTTTATAACTCAGAAGAGATTGGATGTAGGACCCACCCTATCAGTTATCAATTAACGTCACAACAAACCCCTATCTCCAAACAGAATAATTTCCAGAGGTATAGAGATTAGGTTTCCAAGACATATTTTGGAAGGAACACAATTTAATCCTCAATAAACTGGTATCTCTTTTTTGGGTACTTGTCATAATTTTTAACAATAATTATTGCTCTGTAAATTACATTTTACAAACATTTAAAATGCGCTAAATAAAATTGATTCTTCGTGTAAGAGCACAGATTCCAATTTCATTTATTAGCTTCAGAGGAATTCTTAAAAAGAGGGTGAATAAAAAAGTATTGCGACATAATGATAGAATTTTTATTAAGCAAAAATAGTAAAATGTGAAGCGATTGTTTCTTGCTGTATCTTCCATCCGGTCAATGCCTTTGTAAAGGCAGTGTTTACATCTCTCTAACCCTTTCCTGGAGAAGTCTGCACTCTTGGAATTTCATGACATCCAAATGGCAGTTTTCACATTCTCCAAGGACTCTAATCGTGTTCCTTTGATGAGTTCCTTGAATTTGGGGAATAAAAAGAAGATGGCATGAACAGGATCAGGGCTGTAGGGAAGAATGGGACAAGATTTCCCAGTGTAATTTTCCTAGGACAGTCCTCCCTACCCTTTAGGAGGAACAGGTACATTGTTGGAATGGGAAAAAGACTGGTTTTTTTCTCAACAATGTTGCAGCTGTGTTATTTTTAGGTGCTATCCAGACAGCTCTGGTTTGTAGTGACCCAGCGTCCAACAGAACAGAACCTTGCCTGGTGCCGTGCCAGCCTCATAATTGTTATGTCCGAGGCCACTGTTGGAGGCACTCTTTCAGTCCATCTTGATGAGGCGCTTCCTCTTTTTCCCTGACCCTTTACTTCACCAAGCGTGATGTTCTTTCCCAAGAACTGGCCTCTTTAGATAACATGTCCAAAATATGTGAGATGAAATCGCACCGTATTCACTCTGCTACCTCCGGGATAGATGTGTTTGTTCTAGCATTCCACAGTACTTTCAGTATTCTTTACCAACCCCAGAATCCAAAGGCATCAAGTCCTGCAGTCATCTTTATCCTTTGCACAACTTTCACGTCATGCATATGAGGCGATTGAAAATACCATGGCTAAAAAAAATGAGAAAGAAAGAAAAAAAATACCATGGCTTGAGTTAGGCTCAGTTTATTTATTTATTTTTTAATACTTTTATTGGGGGCTCTTACATCTCTTATCACAATCCATACATTCATCTAGTGTGTAAAGCACATTTGCATATATGCTGCCATTATCATTTTCAAAGCATTCTCTTCCCACTTGAGCCCCTGATATCAGCTTCCCATTTCTTTCCCTTCCCTCATGAACCCTTGACAAGTTACAGTGAGATAGTTTATTGCCTATCACGTACAGATTATTTTTTCCATATTTTACATCATCCTCTGTCGCCCCTCACCCACTTCTCCATTATTTGTTCTCCTGGGAGGGGGTTCTAGATTGATCCTTGTGATCGGTTCCCCCTTCCTCCCCCCACCCTCCCCTAAGCCTCCTGGTATCTCTACTCTCCTTGTTGTCCCTGAGGGGTTTATCTATCCTGTGCTGCAGGATCTTAACTGTAGCAGTGTGCATGCTCTGGTCTAATCCGGTTTGTAAGGTAGAATTGAGGTCATGATAGTGGGGGGAAGGAAGTACCAAAGAACTAGAGGAAAGTTGTGTGTTTTGTCGGTGCTATACTGCACCCTGACTGGCTCATCTCTTCTCTATGACCCCTCTGTGAGGGGATGTCCAATTTTCTACAGATGGGCATTGGGTCTCCACTCCATGCCCCCCTCCCCCATTCACATTGGGTAGTTAAAGTTACTAGGGGGGATGTTCAGATGGCTAAAGGAATCCTAGTGGGTGATATAGTGGTTACATGTTGGTTAGTCCTATAAACAATTATAGTCTCAGAAACCCACAGAGTGGCCACTAGGAATCAGCCTTGACTTGAGAGTTAACAATATCCCTGGTGGCATAGTGGTTATGCGTTGGGCTGCTAACAGCAGCATCAGCAGTTTGAAACCACTGGCGGCCATGAAGGAGAAAGAAGGGGCTTTCTTTTCTCATACAGAGTTACAGTTTTGGAAACCCACAGGGACAGTTCTACCCTGTCCTGTGAGGTCACTATAAGTCGGAATCAACTTGATGGCAGTGAGTGATAAGGTCCGTAGGAGCCCTGGTGACATAGGGGATTATGTGTTGGGCTACTAAATTACAAGATCAACAGTTTGAAACCACCAGGTACTCTGTGGGAGGAAAACGAGACTTTCTGCTCCTGTGAAGAGTGACCGTCTCAGAAACACACAAGGTCAGTTCTACCTTGCCCTATAAGGTCACTCTGAGTGGGAATTGACTCGATGGCAGTGAGTTTGGTTTGCTTTGGTTTCAGGAGGGAGATTCAGGAACCCTGCCAAAGTCAGCAGTTTGAACCCACCAGCCATTCCACGGGTGAAAGATGAGGCAGTGGGCTTCTATAAAGATTTCTGGCCTCGGGAAACACCCAGAGTCAGTTCTATGCTGTCCTATAAGGTGGTCTTGAGTTAGGATCAATTGCAAGCCAGTGGGTTTGGGACTGTGTGCCCCGGGAAGGCTCAAGGCAGAGACAGGGCCATAAGCTGACTTAGTGTGAGCAGACGCCCTCTGACGGTGGGGAACAGACGTTGGGGGCGAGGGTAGAAGCTGGTCCAGGCTTGGGGATGAAGCTGGTGAGAAGTGGTCGCATACTGGACAGGTTAGAGTAGGGGTGCTCATATGTTTTCAGCATAAGAGCTACTTATAAAATGATCAAGTCAAAATGATCTACCAACTGCAAAACATATATTTTTTTATTTATTACATTTATTCAAGCGTGCATTGAGAATTCTTTATATGTACAATGTATGTTTATGTACCTTGCATAACCGCATGAGTCCATATTGCACAACACAGCACAATGAACTATGTACATTTTTTGTCATGACCTGAGTTTACTCTGATGACTTGCACTGAATGGAATGAGCCAGGGATGCGTAGTCCAGACAGCAGCTGCTGACAGCCAGCCTCAAGCACACTTCCAATGATCATCAATCAGGGTGGAACGGTACTGGGATTTAAGGATCTTTATGTGGGAAAAGGCCGATTCACATAAATAAGTAGAGCCGAATCATGCAGTCAAGGAGGTAGCACATTTTCTCATGTTTGGGGACTTTCCCTCTGCGAGTAAGTTCCAGAACTATTCATGCGCTCTGGACTTCAGCTGAATGTCGGCTTGTAGTATCAAAATCTCCCATCCCGTATGAAAGTGATACATTTTCGTCTTCTTACTGGGTCCAGCTCCCCCACTCATTTTAATACCATTTCTTACGTTTAAGAGAAAATAAACAAGGTCTAAATATTGGCGATAACTTAGCTTGTCAGTTTTGCTGCACTTAGGGCAATTGTTTGTGCATGCGTTTGACACCTAAGATTGCATCTGATTGGCTGCGCTGTATATCAATTAAGTGACAGGATTGATGATAGGCTGGCGTCTATTTTTTACTGTTATGGGATCTTCCCACACTACATTTGCGATCGACTAGTAGATCGAGATCAATGCAATCTCTAACCCCTGAGTTAGAGAATGGAGCTGAAAGACCTGCTGTTGCGCTGGCAAAGCTAGCTGTTCCGCAAGAATAGGATGACTTTCCTTTTCTGACCGACATCCTCCAGCCTCCTCACTCCGTCACCATAGGATTCCATCTCCCACCTGGACCGGAAGTCTTTACCTGTACTTCTCGACTGGACTTCCAAGCCGAGGCCTCCGCCAAAGACTTCAGATTCCTTTGGCGCCATCTAGAGGATACAGCTTTGTCTCTCTGCACCTTGGTCTCCCTGTTGGTTCTCCGGAGACTAGGACACATGTGGGAGGCCCTCCCTGCGTCCATAGGAAAGTAAAGATGAGCAAAGCTCACGCGTTCCGGGCCTGGACGTGATCAAGGACCAGGAGCTAACGGGAAACTGAACGGGCGTAAACCGAAGGCGACCGTGGCAACTTCCCCCTCCCCTGTGAGCTGGCCTGCAAGTGTGGGGTTGGGGATTGGGGACAGGAGCCCTAACCATTGCCCTTCTACTGAGGCTCAGAGCAGGGCCTCAGCTCCCTGGGAGAAGTGGTTGTCAGAGCCTCTGGGGCTCCTGGGGGGTCATTTCCTCTGC